CTGGCATGAGATGGTATCTCAATGTGGTTTTGATTCGCATCTCTCTGATGACCACTGATGATGAGCATTTTTTCATATGATTGTTGGCCTCATGTATGTCTTCTTTTGTAAAGTGTCTGTTCATATCCTTTGCCCATTTTTGAATGGGCTTGTTTGTTTTTTTTCTGTAAATCTGTTTGAGTTCTTTGTAAATTCTGGACATCAGTCCTTTGTCAGATAGGTAAACTGCAAAAATTTTTTCCCATTCTGTTGGTTGCCAATTCACTCTAGTGACTGTTTCTTTTGCCATGCAGAACCTGTGGAGGTTGATTAGGTCCCATTTGTCTATTTTGGCTTTTGTTGCCAATGCTTTCGGTGTTTTGTTCATGAAGTCCTTGCCTACTCCTATGTCCTGGATGGTTTTGCCTAGATATTCTTCTAGGGTTTTTATGGTGCCAGGTCTTATGTTTAAGTCTTTAATCCATCTGGAGTTAATTTTAGTGTAAGGTGTCAGGAAGGGGTCCAGTTTCTGCTTTCTGCACATGGCTAGCCAGTTTTCCCAACACCATTTATTAAACAGGGAATCCTTTCCCCATTGCTTGTTTTTGTCAGGTTTATCAAAGATTGTATGGTTGTAGATATGTTGTGTTGCCTCCAATGCCTCTGTTTTGTTCCATTGGTCTATATCTCTGTTTTGGTACCAGTGCCATGCTGTTTTGATTACTGTAGCCTTGTAGTATAGTTTGAAATCCGGTAGTGTGATGCCCCCAGCTGTGTTCTTTTTGCTTAGAATTGATTTTGCTATGTGGGCTCTCTTTTGGTTCCATATGAAGTTCATGGTGGTTTTTTCCAGTTCTGTGAAGAAAGTCAATGGTAGCTTGATGGGGATAGCATTGATTCTGTAAATTACTTTGGGCAGTATAGCCATTTTCACGATATTAATTCTTCCTAACCATGAACATGGAATGTTTCTCCATCTGTTTGTGTCCTCTCTGATTTCGTTGAGCAGTGGTTTGTAGTTTTCCTTCAAGAGGTCTCTTACGTTCCTTGTGAGTTGTATTCCTAGGTATTTTATTGTCTTTGTAGCAATTGTGAATGGCAGTTCATTCTTGATTTGGCTTACTTTAAGTCTGTTATTGGTGTAGAGGAATGCTTGTGAGTTTTGCACATTGATTTTATATCCTGAGACTTTTTTTGCTGAAGTTGCTTATCAGTTTCAGGAGTTTTGGGGCTGAGGCAATGGGGTTTTCTAGGTATACTATCATGTCGTCTGCAAATAGAGACAATTTGGCTTCCACCTTTCCTATTTGAATACCCTTTATTTCTTTTTCTTGCCTGATTGCTCTGGCTAGAACTTCCAGAACTATATTGAATAGGAGTGGTGAAAGAGGGCATCCTTGTCTAGTGCCGAATTTCAAAGGGAATGCTTCCAGTTTTTGCCCATTCAGTATGATATTGGCTGTTGGTTTGTCATAAATAGCTTTTATTACTTTGAGATACGTTCCATCAATACCGAGTTTATTGAGGGTTTTTAGCATAAAGGGCTGTTGAATGTTGTCGAATGCCTTCTCTGCGTCAATTGAGATAATGTGGTTTTTGTTTTTGGTTCTGTTTATGTGGTGAATTACGTTGATAGACTTGCGTATGTTGAACCAGCCTTGCATCCCCGGGATGAATCCTACTTGATTATGATGGATAAGTTTTTTGATTTGCTGTTGCAATCGGGTTGCCAATATTTTATTGAAGGTTTTTGCATCTATGTTCATCATGGATATTGGCCTGAAGTTCTCTTTTCTTGTTGGGTCTCTGCCAGGTTTTGGTATCAGGATGATGTTGGTCTCACAAAATGATTTGGGAAGGATTCCCTCTTTTTGGATTATTTGGAATAGTTTCAGAAGGAATGGTACCAGCTCCTCTTTGTGTGTCTAGTAGAATTCGGCTGTGAACCCATCTGGACCTGGGCTTTTTTTGTGTGGTAGGCTCTTAATTGCTGCCTCGACTTCTGACCTTGTTATGGGTCTATTCATAGTTTCAGCTTCCTCCTGGTTTAGGCTTGGGAGGACACAGGAATCCAGGAATTTATCCATTTCTTCCAGGTTTACTAGTTTATGTGCATAGAGTTGTTTGTAATATTCTCTGATGATGGTTTGAATTTCTGTGGAATCTGTGGTGATTTCCCCTTTATCATTTTTATTGCATCTATTTGGTTGTTCTCTCTTTTCTTTTTTATCAGTCTGGCTAGTGGTCTGTCTATTTTGTTGATCTTTTCAAAAAACCAGCTCTTGGATTTATTGATTTTCTGAAGGGTTTTTCGTGTCTCTATCTCCTTCAGTTCAGCTCTGATCTTAGTTATTTCTTGTCTTCTGCTAGGGTTTGAGTTTTTTTGATCTTGCTCCTCTAGCTCTTTCAATTTTGATGATAGGGTGTCAATTTTGGATCTCTCCATTCTCCTCATATTGGCACTTATTGCTATATATTTTCCTCTAGAGACTGCTTTAAATGTGTTCCAGAGATTCTGGCATGTTGTGTCTTCGTTCTCATTGGTTTAGAAGAACTTCTTTATTTCTGCCTTCATTTCATTGTTTATCCAATCAACATTCAAGAGCCAGTTGTTTAGTTTCCATGAAGCTGTGCGGTTCTGGGTTTGTTTCTGAATTCTGAGTTCTAACTTGATTGCACTATGGTCTGAGAGACTGTTTGTTATGATTTCAGTTGTTTTGCATTTGCTGAGCAGTGCTTTACTTCCAATTATGTGGTCAATTTTAGAGTAGGTGTGATGTGGTGCTGAGAAGAATGTATATTCTCTGGATTTGGGGTGGAGAGTTCTGTAAATGTCTATCAGGTTTGCTTGTTCCAGGTCTGAGTTCAAGCCCTGGATATCCTTGTTGATTTTCTGTCTGGTTCATCTAATGATGTCTCATTTAAAATGTGCATTTCTTTAATTACAAGAAGTTTAGGTAAAAGGATATGTAATTACGGTTAGATAGGAGGAATAAATTTCAAGCATTCTATTGTACAGCAAGGTGACCATAGTTAATATAATATATTCTTGAAAAATTTAAAAGGAGTGGATGTTAAGTGCCCTCATCACAAAATGATAACTCTATGAGGTGATGCATTTCCTAATTAGCTGGATTTAACCATTTTACAATGTATATGTACTTCAAAACATCATATTATACATGATAAAGGCATGCAGTGCTGTCAATTAAAAAAACGACAAAATAATACATTAGTAGCCTTTTGAAAATCTTTTTTTCTGAGTTATCAGGTTGTATTTTTTGTTAGTTTTTTGCTCATTTATTTTTCCTGATGGATTGTCATTTTGTTATCAATCTATAAGAGCTTTTTAATATAGTAAGTTGACCAGGCCTTTCTCATATATGGTGCAGAGTTTTCCCCCAGTTTGTTAGTTGACCTTTGAGTTCATTTACTGTGCTTTTTGAAGTTTAGAACATTTAATTTTTCTACTGAAATGAATCAATTCTTTACTTTTTCAGTTTAGGGTTTGCTTCTTGCTTAGAAAGGCTGTCTCTGTCCCGTAGCCATAAAAAAAAAATTCTTCCATGTTTCTTTCTAGTACCTTTATGGGCTTATTTTTTATGTTTAAATCCTTGCTCCATCTGGAATTTGCTTTGGTGTGAGAAGCGAAGACCAGATTCAGATTTACTTTTTTCCAGATGGCAAGGCGGTCGTCTCAACACCCCTTCTTGAATAATCCTTTTTGCCTAACTGATGTGAAATACCATATAATTCATATACTAAATTCCTGTGTGTTTTTGCATCTCTATCTGGATTCTCTTTTCCTTTGCCGGCTTGCTCTAGTACCAAACAGTTTTAAGTATTGTCCATTTTTATTATTGACAATACTTATATTTGGCAAGCGTTGTCATTTTTCTTTATCTATTTTTTAAAATTTTTAGAATTTTCCTGGCTAGCATCACATGTTTATTTTTCCAAGTAGACTTTAAATCAACTCACTTGTTTCTCCTCACCCCCTGGATTCCACAGATGTGTTCATTGGGATTGCATGGCTTCAGGAGCATCTCTCTTTTCCAGAGAGAGAGAAAGAGCAGAGTTTCTCCGGGCCAAAGAGCTCTTCAGATAGAGGTCTGCACTTAAGCTTGGAAAACAGAACAGACAGCTCAACTTCTTGGCGAGGCCACTCACCTTTCCCCCAATGTGATCTCCTATGGTGCTGTAGGGGAAAAGTTTGTTAAACAAGTTTGGAACACCTTGGGCTTGAGCAAAAGTTCAACATTTTTTTTTTCTTGATCATTCGTTCAAGGGTTTGTGCAAAAGGGTGGGACTACCACGGGGAAGAGATCAGACGCTGCCCTGGTTCTCACAGAGCTTGTGGCCCAGCTGGGGAGAAAAACATCAGACCAAAACAAATTCCAGATATGCATTTACTCAGTCCTGTGATTTTTAAGTGCCAAGGAGGGAGGCTTTGGGAAGGCACTAGAGGAAAACAGCCGAGGTAAGGGCTTACCCTTCTCCAGGGCAAGGGAAGGTCTTGTTGAGCTTTTACCATGCACATTATCTATGGAAACCTTCAAGGCACAGAGTTTTCCAAACTTTCTGGCTATGGGACTCTTTTCAGGGGTTCTTTCTGGGCTCATTTCTGAAGGATGCTCTTTTAAAAATGCCAGCGGTTTGCTCCCACTGCACAGTCTGTAACCCAGATCTGTCTCAGACGAGTCAGGGATCTTCAGAGACGTTGCTTGATTTCTCTGAACCTCATTTTTCTCATCTATGAAATGATGCGTTAATTTTCTAGAGCTACCATAACAAATTGCCACAAACCAGGTAGCATTAAACAACAGAAATGTACTCTGTCCCAAGTCTGGAGGCCAGAAGTCTGAAGTCAAGGTGGTGGGAGGGCCACACTCTGGCTGAAGGCTGTAGGGAGAATCCCTCCTCGCCTCCCACTTGTGTTGGCTCCAGCCATTCCTTGGGTTGTGGCTGCATCACAACCAAGGTTGTGATGGAGGCAGAGATTGGATTATGACATCTTCATGTGGCCCCTCCTCTTCTCTCCCTGTATCTTCTCTTCTGTCTTTCAGCAAGGACACTCACTTCTCTTTGCATTTAGGGCCCACAAAGGTAACCCAGGATGATCTCATCTTGAGATCCTTCAGTACATCTGCAAATACCCTTTTTTTCCAAATAACATCACATTGACAGGTTCCCAGACATACCTTTTTTGGGGGGATGGGGTGGGGGATAATTCATTCACTCCAGATAAAAATTGTAGAACTTGTTTCAGAGAGTTGTCATGAAAGGTCCCTGAAACAAGGTGTGTGAAGCAGCCTGTCCCAGAGTAGGTGGGTGTTAGATGACAGTTTTCTCCTTCATGTCTCCCTCTATCTCAAGAGGGTTTAGCACTACTAATTCACAGTGAAGTGGCTGGGGCCAAAGGGTTTCTTCTCTTGCCCTACCTCCACTGGAGAGAATTTCATTTTAAATGAGGAGTCAGGGAGGGATATTACTCCTTGCCTTTTTCTGAAGGCTTCCGCCGGTGAGTTCTGGATCTCTACAGGAGTTGTTTCTTATCTTTCCTCTCAGAGGGTCCTAGCCAGCTGCATCATCTCCAGCCTGGACCTGTCCTTACCAAGTCATCAGTGCAGATGTTTCTAGGAACTGAGGAATGTGAGGGGAGCCATCAAACCCTGCCTGAGCCATTTTCTACTTCTCTGACAGCTCTCAGGGGACTCCCATCTTCAAAGAGTGCCTCGGTGCTTTTCCTCTTCATCTCCTGGGTATTTGCTGCAAAACAAAGACAACCTCTCCGACCTCTTCCCTTTTCTGCCTTTCCTTGTTAAGATGTGCTCATCGAGCAGATGTTGTGGGACCATGAGCTAGATATTGCTCAGGGATAAAGAAACAAACATACCGAGAAGTGACCTAAAGTCCACCATGCCACTGGGGTGCTTTTGTGGTCCTATTCTGTAACCTGACTTCCCCAAGTTTGGACCTCCACAAAGGCAGGCCCTTTGCCTCAGACCCCATACTTGTGACTCTTGGCCCCTGGGCCCTTTTTCAACACTGTCTTTCATCTCCATGCCCTTCCTCCATGGCTCCCCATAACCCCCTGGTAATGTCAGATCGATGGTAATTGCTGACGTGCAGCTGTTCCGTCCTAGGACTGTTGAGAGAGAACTTAATGTCCAAAGGAGTCCCCAAGGAGCCACATGCTGCTTGAATTATGTAAAGGTGAGCAGAGAAGGGTAAATTTCATATGCAGAAATCCTTTATGGCATTAAAGTTTCATGGGAAAAACTGAACCCTTGGACTCATATTTCTGGTCAAAGCTTATCTTCTTTCATTTAGCACACATTTATTAAACTCTTATTATGTATAAGACCACAGTGTAGGTGCTAGAGGGGGAAAAAGAGATAAATTAATGAGTCTCAGACCTTTCTTGTGGGCTTCTCTATCTCCATATGCATACACCTTAGAATAACAAGCTACTATGAGATAAAATTATACCCAGATGAGCAACATATTATCCATCCATACCACTAGTCCCCCAGTAAGTATTTACTGAGTGCCTGCCCTGAGTCAGATTCTGTGACAGATACCAGAAGCACTGAGCTAGGTGCAGGGTGAGACATCTGTTGAAAGGAGGAAGAGATCAAGTTGTTTTAAAAATCACTTTTTAAATTGACATGTAATAGCTCTTTATATTTTTGGAGTACATGTGCTATTTTGATACCTGTATACAATGCATAATGATCAAATTAGGGTAACTGGGCTATCACTTCAAACATTTATGTTTCCTTGTGTTGGGAATATTATAATTCTCCTCCTCTAGCTATTTTGAAATATACAATAGATTATTGTTAACTATAATTTGTCTATGGTACTGTCAAATACTAGAGCTTATTCCTTCTATTTAACTGTATATCTAACTGTATTTTTGTATTCTTTTAACCAACTCATCATCACCCTCCTTGTCCTCGCTTCCCAGCCTCTGATAATCATCAATCTGCTCTCTTCCTCCCTTTGATCCAACTTTCTAGCTCCAACATGTAAGAATATGTGATATTTGTCTTTCCATGACTGACTTATCTCATTTAACACAATGCCCTCTGGTTCCATCCATGTTGCTGTAAATGACAGGATTTCATTCTTTTTATGGCTGAATAATATTCCATTGTGTATATTTACCACAGTTTCTTTATCCATTCATCTGTTGATGGACATAGGTTGATTCCATATCTTGGCTATTGCGAATAGTGCTGCAATAAACATAGGAGTGGAGATAACTTTTCAATACAACAATTTCCCCTCTTTTGGATGTATACTAAACAATGGGATTGCTGGATTATTTTTAGTTTTTTGAGGAATCTTCATACTGTTTTTCATAATCGCTATACTACTTCACATTCCCACCAACAGAGTATGAGTAATCTTTTTTCTCTGCATCCTCACCAGCACTATTTATTTTCTGTTTCTTTTTATAATACCAATTCTACCTAAGGTGAGATGATATCTCATTGTGGTTTTGACCTGTATTTCCCTGATGATCAGTGATGTTGAGCATTTTTTCATACACCTATTGACCATTTGTGTGTCTTCTCTTGAGAAATGTCTATTCAAGTCTTTTACCCATTTAAAAAATCAGATTGTTTGTTTTTTTGCTATTGAGTTGAGGTCTTTATATATTGTGGTCATTAATTCCTTGTTGGATGAATAGTTTGCAAATATTTTTATTCGGAAGGCTGTCTCTTCACTTGTTGATTGTTTCTTTTGCTGTAAAGAAGCTTTTCAGCTTGATGTAATTCCCCCCATGGATTTTGGAGGTCTTACCCCCCAAAATCCATGCCCAGATCAATGTCCTGTCGTGTTTCCTCATTGTTTTCTTTTGGTAGTTTCATAGTGTCGGTCTTACATTTAAATGTTTAATCCATTTTGAGTTGGTTTTTATATAGGGTGAGAGTTTTGTTCTTCTTCGTATGGATGTCTAATTTTCCCAGAACGACTTATTAAAGAGACTGTCCTTTCCCCAATGTATATTCTTGGCATTTTTGTCAAAAATTAGTTGGCTGTTAGTGTGTGATTTATTTCTGGGTTCTCTATTCTATTCCATTGTTTTATGTGTCTGTTTTTGTGCTAGTAGCATGATGTTTTGGTTACAATAGCTTTGTAGTATAATTTGATATCAGATAATGTGATGCCTCTAGCTTTGTTCTTTTTGATCAGGAATGCTTCCACTGTTCGAGGTCTTCTGTGGTTCCATATAAATTTTAGGATTTTTTTTTTTATGTAAAGAATATCATTGGTATTTTGATAGGGATTGCATTGAATCTGCAGATTGCTTCAGGTAGTAGCAATGGGAGTGATTAAGCTTGTTAAGGATATTCCTGCAAAAGACATACTTTTCAAGCTAGGTCTTGAAGGGCAAGTACAATTTGGGCAGAATGTTTATGTATGTGCATGTAAAATACAAACAAAGTCAAGCTCCCCATACCATTTTCTTTTTTTTCCTGGAATTTATGTACATTCTGAAGGCAAAAGCTCAGGCTCACAAGCTTTTGCCTCCTGGAACTATCCTTCCTCTCTGCTTTACATCCACCTGTTGTTCTAGACTTCCACCAGAGCCACCAACACAGAACACTGTGTATGAGTAGCAGTGGATCCCTCTGCGCCTTGCTGGCCTGCTTCACCCCTCCCCAACATGCGTATCTAAAGAGAGGGAGGTTCAGTTATGCGATGCCCATCCCTCTCCCATCCCCATGTGGGTCTCAGCAAGGACATGAAGATTCGTGTGAAGATTCGTCTTCCTGTCAATGGAAATACAAGCCCCACAAGGGTGGGGAATTTGCATGTCTTGCTCACTGGTATATTCCCAAGACCTAGCATAGGGCCCTGAACAGTTCCTGGAACACATGGTAGGGACTCAAGAAATATTGTTGAATTTGTTAAATGAATTATGCCACATAATTACTTAAACCAGAGACAAAGGTTGGGGATATCACATAGTGGCAGCAGTGGCCAGAGTGCACAGCTCCAGCATCATCTCTCACATTTAGAATGAAACCCAAAGTTCTCCCCGTGGTCGAGATGCATCCTTTGACACATGCAGCCCCAGATACACTGGACTTCTCGGGGCTCCTTTGCCATGCCAAGAAAAATTGAGTCCTCTTTGAAAAGTCATGCCAGGCACACTGCTGCTCCAAGGTCTCTGGCCCTTCCTCTGCTGCTCCTTGCCCACCACCTGCCCCATCCTCCCACCGCTCACTTTCTCACCTCCCTCAGGTGTTTGCCCAAATGTCATCTCCTGATCACTCTTCCTTATTTTTCTTATTACACATAAGGAATATTGCGTGCCATATCATAAACATTATTTCTTTATTTTCTCTTCCCTTTGAGAATGGCAGCTCCATAAGGGTGGGGGCTTTGTCTTTTTTGTTTACTACTGACTGTATTCTCAATTCTTGGAACTATGTCCAGCACACAGAGGCCACCCCATAAATATTTTCTGTTGAATGGATGAGTGGAAATGAATGAACATGGGCCCTATGGCAAGCTCTTGATGGGGGGAAGACACAGAAGAGGTCTGGAGGACACAGAAGAGATGAGGAGGCACTCAGGGCACTCTCAGCTCTAATTCTGTGGCTCTGCCTCTGCAACTGTCATCTTCCAGGATGACTTTGGAAGACTGTTTGCATGAAGTGGTAAGGAGAGATCTACAGAAGAGGCCATTACCAGAACAGCTCTCAGAAACAAGTGGCATGAGGGAGGAGACAAAGGACAGATATCTATTTAACTAGATTAGGCCCTATAGAGGTGGATCAATTAGACCATGAGCAGGTGTCAAGGAGGGTGAGAAGGTATACTTATCCACGTGGTACCATGTGGTACCCTTGTATCGATGAAAGAAATGGTGCCCCTTCCTCTAGGTGGATGTAACCTTGTACAGGGGTGCTGCATGGTGAGTGGAGAGCTGGGGTTCAGCTGACACCCATCCCCCATAGGCAGGTGCCTTTGTGCCGAGTATACCTTGCATAACATTACACGACAGTTTCAGGTATAGCTCAATCAGGGTCTTGTCTGAAAGTTCACCATGGCATTTTTCTGTTGCATAGTTGAGGACAAAATATCCACCCCGAATTTCAGCTTGTCCATGACACCAGCTCAAAGTCAAATGGCTCCTAAAGGGCAGAACTCCATCCAATGGGGCAATGTGGTGAGCAGACTTGTATCATCTCATTGCTATTTAAAGTGTGGACTGTGACCAGCTGTATTGGCATCATCTGGGAGTTTTGGTGAAATGCAGAATTTTAGGTCCCGCCTCACACTGCTGACTCTGAATCTGCATGTTGACAAGATCCCCAGGTGACTTCTGCACGCATTGAAGTTTGAGAAACATGATACTATCCCACCCCTGGGTTTCATGCTATTCTATTACTTTTCTATTCAACTTGGCTACTTCTACTTTGTCCACATGGCCTATCACCAAATGTCCACAGAGCCAGCCAGCTCAACGTTCCAGAAAGATCATCGGACATTTCGTTTGTTTCAATGGCTGTGTGACATCAAACAAATCTTTCACTCCTAAGAGTATGGGCTTCCTAATCTAAGGGAGAAAAAAAGGAATAATGTCCCAGCACTTTTGTGGGGCTCAAATGACATGGTGGATGGGAAAGTGCCTTGTTTGTCAAAGGGAAAATTCTACCTAAGCAAAAAAGATTATTGCTCCCACATAGAGTAATATGAAGACCCCTGACTGAGAGCACTTCTGTGCCCTGACTGAATGCTACTTCAACAAATTAGGAAAAGGTAGAAGATGAATGACCTGGGATCAGTGGACTCCAATTAGCAGACTGGAGTAGGTACAGGAATCCACAGTCTCCTTAAGCATACAGGGGTAACTTCCTGCCCCCTGAGGATTTCCAACGGGGCTTTGATGGTGGTGTCAGCTCCAGTCTGGAAAAATCATGGAGGGGAGAGGTGGATAAAGGTCAGGTGGGGCATTTTCCAGGAAGGAAGGCTTATGGATGTGCCACATGGGATGAGTGAGTGAGAGGAGAGGAAGCCCCCGCAGAAAGACTGCCTGCTCCCAAGTGTAGCAGGGGACACCTTCTCACCTCCATATCTGCTATTGTATTTCTCATCTTGCATCCAGATGTTTTGTGCCCTGTGAAGTGGTCAACACCACTGAAGCCACTTGGCTGGTCACGATCTTGGGGAATGCCATTTGTTAGAAAAAAGTAGCTCAAAACACCATGTTGCACCTGGATTTAGCAGAGGGAAGGAAGATGGGTGGCTAGGTCTTACTGACATCAGAGAAAGATGGGTGGCTAGGCCTTACTGACATCAGAGTCCACTGCCATTAAAAGACTGGACACAGGAAGTGTTCAGTACATTCCCAAGGAATTGACAGGTGAAGGAATGGATGGGGACCTTTGCCTTTAGAAAGTTTTCTTATCTCAGTACAAGCTACCCTAATCACACTGTCTTAAATTTAAGCTCACTCATCTCTGGGACTCCCAACCTCCTTCCTCTCTCTCTCTCTCTCTCTCTCTCTCTCTCTCTCTCTCTCTCTCTCTCTCTCTCTCTCTCTCTCTCGCTCCCCCCTGTCCATAGCACTTATTCTCTCTTAACATGCTATATAAATTATTGTGCACTATTTGTCCCCCACCCCCCAGAATGGAAGTCTGTTAGATGGATTTTTATTTGTTTTAAACCATGGATACATCCCTAAAACAGTGCTTGGCCAATAGTAGATGCTCCACAAGTGTTTGTTGAATGAAATTGAATTAAATGAATCAGAGAGAGTTGCAGGGTCAGTCAAATTCTTGTCTGATTTTGCCAGCAAATCATCATGTGACTAGGGTGATGGCCTTTGCCTTTCTGTGCCTCAGTTTCCCCATGTGTACAATGAGGAGGTTGGACCTATCTCTAAAGGCACTCTCAGCTCTAATTCTGTGGTTCTGCCTCTGCGACTGTCATCTTCCAGGATGGCTTTGAGGACTGTTTACATGTAGTGGTAAAGAGAGACCTATGAAGGAAATGAACAGACATGAGCAGGGGTCTTTGCTCTGACACATCTTAAGTACTGAGACTGTGGTGAGACATTTGTCTTCTATTCTATGTATGATGTTGCTAGCACAGTGCCTGGCATACCTTAGGAACTGACTAAACATTATCTTCTCCCTCTCCTCCCCATCTGGGCTTGCACGCTTTGTACCAGGTGAGCCTCAACTCCCACAGTCACATAGCAATGACCTAAAAGAACTTTGAAAATGGTAAAGTACTCCCCAAATGTAAAGGGTTAGTGTGACTACATGCATGCCCAACCTCTAGCCTCCCTACACACAAATGACACTGAAATCATAATAGCTATTTATACCAAAACAATCTCATGATTCACAGCCTTCCTGCTCACCAGAAATGCTGCACCTGACGAGACCAAATTCACATTGGGTTTATCAAAGTCTAATTAAAACTCGATCATTGTGTCTGACATGTTTCCTTATTATTTTGGCTTAATTAGAGTGATGAGAGGGGGCTGAAAGCAATTCCAGCAGTGCAGTGATGCAACATCTGGGGAGAAGCAGGGCTCAGCCAGATGAGCAATTATGTTGAATGACACATAAAGCCAGTATCTTCGAATCTGACAGCTGTCTGGCCAGCCCCACCTCAATTCAGGGTTGTGAAAGCCTGACGTATAAGCTCCCTTCTCCATCTTCCAAAGTAGTGGGAACTGGTCAGACCCTTCAGAGAACAGCATGGCAAAGCCACTACTGCAGGGAACATCCTGCTGCCATGGTTTTTAGTCACTGAGTGAAAGAAAGTGAGAGTATTTGGCAGCAAGAGAAAGTGAATTCTCCATTGGGTCTTGGGTTTATGGTCAGCTGTGGTCATGATGCTGCTATGGATCATGCCAGAAAAACTCAGTCCTCTTTGAAATGCCATCACTCATCTCTTCAGTTACAAATAACCTGAAATTGGGCACTTCTCCATCTTCCCCCAGGGAGAGGCAGGATGTGTGGGTCTAATGTTCAAACAACCTTCAAAAATGCTCACTAATATCAAAGCTGCAGCCTGATCCATTAGGCTTGTTATGACAGTGAGGGTAGGCTAGCTGTTGCAGCAGATAGACCCTGTGGTTACCAAGGATCCTCATCTCCTGGCTCTCATACTTTTGTATAATTCTTCTTTGTCATGCTTGTGGAAAAGTCCTTAAGTATGGGCTGAACCTTATGACTTATTTCTAGTGAACTCAGGTGACAAAAATAAGGGATGCCACTTCTGAGATGAAGCTACTCAAGATGGTGAGTTTGGCCTCATGCACTCCCTTATGCTGACTGTTCTCACTTGCAGCTGTCACATTGAGAGCAGCCCTGTGGAGAGGCCCACATGGCCTGGAGCTGAGGGTGGCCTCTGGCCAATGGCCCGTGAGGAACCAAATTCTGCCAATGATCATGTGAGTGAGCTTGTAGACAGATACTTCCTTCCCCAGTCAAGCTTGGGATAATCGTGGCCCTGACTGACATCCTGATTACTGTCTTGAGGGACCTTGAAGTAGAGGGCCCAGCTAAGCCACACCTGGATTCCTGACCCACAGAAACTCTGAGATGATAAACGTTGTTTTAAGCCACTACAATTTGGGGCAATTTGTTATAAAGCAATAGGTAATTAATGCAGACTCCAATAAGTAAATGGCTCAAATACAATAGAAATTTATTTCAGGTAACCAAATTACCTGGAATAATCATGCTTATAGAGATTCTGTCATTTTCAACATTTCTGGTGGCTTCCAAGATTGCCCTGAAGTTGTCTCCATATCAGCCTGCTGAAAGCGAGTGAGAGAATGATGGAGCATATATAGAAACTTTTAACATTTATTTTAAATTGTAATAAAATATACATAAGATACAATTGGCCATTTTAACCATTTTAAAGTGTATAGTCCAGTTGCATTAAGTACACTCACACTGGTGCACACCCATCCCCACTATCCATCTCTAGGACCTTTTTCATCTTGCAAACCTGAGGTATGGAAATTTTTAAGAGCCAAACCCAGAAGGGGTACAAATCACTTCCTGTCACATCTCAGTGATGAGAACTTAGTCTTTTGGCCACACCATATGCAAGGGAGACTGGGAAATGTAGTCTGACTGTGTACTCAAGCAGAAAAGGTAAAGACACATTTTTTTGGTGAGAAGCTAGTAGTCTTTGCCACACCTTTGTAAAACAGTGTCTACCCTCCAAAATTATGCTGAGCCGTAATCACAATGCAAACTCCACTAACCCAAGGACAAACTAACCTACAGTACCCTGTGATCATGCTGGCTCCACAGCCCCTCATTGGTGTGCACTTAATTTTAGAATCAAGGGTTTTTAAAAGAAATCTCTTAAAAGGTCAATGGCTAAAGATTCCCGGATGCTTCACTGAGAAACTTTGCAAAATGTATTCTGGACATGCAATATCACCATATCAGTGTTTGCTCCCTACACACTTTGTAAGTTTTTTCTTAATTGCTTGGGACATTCGCTAGAACCCAGGATTTTGTTCTCTAAATACTCTCCTCTCCTGATGGCAGCTTCCTTCATCACTGTCTCATCACATCAAATATGGCTGAAGTGGAACTGATGGCCCCATGCTACATGACACCTTCCTTTCCCCAGAAGATGACAGCAGCTTTTAAGACTGGAGACTCTGAGAAAGCCCCACCCATCCTAGAGTGATGGCTTTCATTGTCAAAGAAAGAGTGCCTTTTGGAGGCCATTGGAATCTTATGGCCACGGTGACCTGTTCCATTTCTTAAATCTCTCATTTCTTGCACTTTTTAGAGTCCATTTTCATGAGAAACTGTCTATCGATGAAATAAGGAAGAAAGAGCAGGAACCCCGTGATCTCTTGCAGTTTCTCTTGTAGCTCAGGTGTTTGAGTCTAGGATGACTGGTTTTGCAAATTCTCTGTCTGTGAAAAGTTCATTTTAAGATCCACTGTGGTAGAAATTGCCAAATGAATTGAAATTTCCATTCTATATGAGTAGCTGGTATTTTGAGCAGTTTTAGGTACTTGAGCTCTGCTTGTCTGACCTTGGGCTGCACCATGATGATATCTGAGCAACCATTCTCTTAGTGTGTGTTGGCTCATGGTGCCTGGCTGGGTGAAGTGAATGTAGTACCCACTGGTACCATTCCCGAGGCCAGAGTTCCTGTCCCCAAGGGGTTCAGAGTCTAGGAGTGGAGACATAATGTCAGTATGATGCTGTGAGTGTGGAGTAGAAGTGTGCAGGAGATGTTATGGTGACAGAGAGGAGGATTCTCTGGTCCATTCCTGTGGAAGGAAGGAAAGGCTGGAAAATTTCTTAAAGAGATATATTCAAGTAAAGTTGAAAAGGGTAAGTAAGAGTTAGCCAGAAAAAGCAGAAGCATGGGATGCATAAGGAAGAAAAGTCAACATGAGTGAAGTCAGAGACATGTACTTGGAACTGCAAGCAGTTGGGGAAAGCAGTATAACGGTGACAAAACAGGATTTGAAGTTTGACTGACCTGGGTTCAAACCCTAGATCCATCGGTTTCCACTGCATGATTATGGTCATGTCATTAGCTTCTCCTTGCCTCAGTTTTCTCATCTGTAAGATGGGATAATGAAAAAAATCCACCAAATAGGGTGGTTGAGAGGATGAAAAGAAATACATATAACATTGTGTCTGGACCACATAAAAAGCTGAATAAATACTATTAGCCAGTAGGCAAGTATAAATATGGACCACGAGAAGGCCAATCTATGCTAGAGATGTAATGTAGGAAACCGTCAACATAAAGATGCCTACTGAGGGCATGAGAGAGAGTGAAGCTGTATTCACTAGCTTTTGCTGCATAGCAAATCATTCCCAAATTTTAGTGACTTAAAACAACCGTGTATTATTTTTCATGAGTTTATAAATTCTGTGAGGTGGGCGAGGCTTGGCTGATCTTAGAAGGGCTTGATCCTGTACCTATGCTGGCTGGTGGGTTGGCTGAGGCTGGCTGGTCTCAGACAGCCTCACTCAGCAGCTGCTTGGCTGATGATTGACAGGAGTGATTAGACCGTAGAGTTGTCATCATCCAAGAGGCTAGCGCAGGCTTGCTCGCACACAGTGAGTCCCAGACTGGGCACTGGCACAGTGTTGCTTTGCCTCCTCTCTTAGCCAAAGTCAGTCAAGGCCAGTCTAGATTCAAGAGGCAGGTAAATAGACTCCACCTCCTGATGGGAAGAATTGCAAAGTTACATTACAAAGAACAGATACAGAGAGAGGTAGCAAATTGGGACTATTTTTGCAAATAAGCTACCATAGAACCTACTCAAGATCAGGATGTAGAAAAAAAAGTGAAGAAAGTTCAGCATGTAACTCTGTCATTCAAGGTCAAGAAGGGGTAGATAGTAGCCTAGAAGAATATGGGAAAACCAGGAAAGTATGGTTTTCAGAAGCTAATGAGAAGAGAGAGTTTCTAGAAAAGATAAATAGTTAACAGCATCAAGCTGCTGAGAACCCAAGGAACATATGACTGTAGAGTAACCACCAAATTCCAATGAAGGTTGCTGGATGGTGAGGGCAGGATCATGACAAAAGTAAGACTACAGTGATTCATGGAGAGAGTGGGGCATAAAAATTGGAGACAAAAAAGTGCTGACCATATTTTCAGAAAGTTTTGATGAGAAGAAAGGAGAACTATTTGGTAATAGCTAGTTAGGGGTTAAGGAAATAAGAGGTTTTTTTTAAGATGGGGAGATCTGAGCAGGTTTCCATGCAGTTGGGAAGGAGCTGGTAGAGAACGGAATGAACAATATAAGAAAGAAAGGAAATAAATAGAGGAATATTCCAAAAAGGTGGGTAGGAATGAGATCCAGCCTGAAGCACCACTTTTATTTTTTTTTATTTTTTTATTTTTTTATTTTTTATTTTTTGGCAGGGTTTTTAAATTTTATTTTATTTCAGCACTTTTTTTCAGATATCCCATTCTCTTCTGGCCTGCATGTTTCTGCTGAAAAATCTCCAATACTCTTTTGAGGGCTACATTGTCCATACAAGTCATTGTTTCTTTTTTTTTTTTTTTTTTTTTTTTTTAATTTTTTATTGGATTATAGGTTTTGGGGTACATGAGCAGAGCATGCAAGACAGTTGCGTAGGTACACACATGGCAGTGTGCTTTGCTTTTCTTCTCCCCTTCACCCATATTTGGCATTTCTCCCCAGGCTATCCCTCCCCACCTCCCCCTCCCACTGGCCCTCCCCATTTCCCCCCAATAGACCCCAGTGTTTAGTACTCCCCTTTCTGTGTCCATGTGTTCTCATTTTTCATCACCCACCTATGAGTGAGAATATGCGGTGTTTCATTTTCTGTTCTTGTGTCAGTTGAAGCACCACTTTTAAACATAAGAACAGACATGTCACTGGCGAGAGGCCAGAAAGGGTAGTTTTAGACTTAAGTAGGTATACAAGTTGATGGAGGAAAGCTGAGGTAGTTCCCCTTTCCAATGGCTTCTGTCTTCTCTGTGAATTGGAGTGAATACACCTGCTCAGAGAGAGAAGGGGAAGTGGGCTTGAAGAGAGGGTTTAAATTCGCAATAGCCACTGTGGAGAATGAGAGAGAGCTGACAAGGGAAATAGGAAAGGATTGCAAAGCAGCACTGAGGGTCCATTTGAAGTTGGAGGCCATAAATTTAGAGTGGCACCAGTGATTTATAATGACACCAATCTGTGTGGATTTCTAGCAGTGCTTAGCAACCAGAGAGGAGCGATAATTGCATTCATCCAAAGTTGGTGTTTTTCCAGAAGAGGGATTGGGGGAACAATGGGGCAAGTGTATTGGTAAGAGAGAAGTTGAGATGATAAGAAATGACATCTGAGCTGGATAGGGAAGGAAGTGAAGACAGGAGGGGGTCGAGATAGAGAGGAAAATGAATGCTGGTGTTATGGACCAGCAAGGTAACATCTCAAGTTCATCTCTTATGGGTGAACTTCCACCATGCTTTATATAGGCCATGCTCTTCAATCTTCTCCACACTTTGATATTTTCCACAGTTTACTTCCTATCAAGAACTCCACACCCCAATGACCCTAACAACTCACAACCCTCAAAGAGCTGGGAACACCAGGTAATCAGTAGAGACAGGACAGTGAGCCCCATAGCTGTCCCTCCCACAGATTTCCTTTTTTAAAAACTTATAAGTTCAGGGCTACATGTGCAGGCTTGTTATATAGACAAACTTGTGTCATGGGGTTTTGTCATACAGATTATTTCATCACCCAGGTATTAAGCCTAGTGCCCATTAGTTATTTTTCCTGATCCTCTGCCTCCTCCCACCCTCCACCCTCTGATAGGCCTCAGCATATGTTGTTCCTCTCTTTGTGTTTGTGTGTTCTCCTCATTTATTTGTAAGTAAGAATATGCAATATTTGGCTTTCTGTTCCTGCTTTAGTTTGCTGAGGGTAATGGCCTCCAGCTGCATCCACATTCCTGAAAAGGACGAGATTTCATTCTTTTTTACAGCTGCGTAGTATTCCATGGTGTGTATGTACCACATTTTCTCTATCCAGTCTACCATTTACGGACACCAAGGTTACTTCCATGTCTTTGCTATTGTAAATAGTGCTGCGACAAACAAACGTGTGTATGTATCTTTGTGATAGAATGATTTATATTCCTTTGGGTATATACCCAGTAATGGGATTGCTGTGTCAAATGGTAGTTCTGTTTTTAGGTATTTGAGGAGTCACCACACTGTTTTTCTACAATGCTTGAGCAAATTTACACACCCACCAACAGCATATAAGCTTTCTTTTATCTCTGCAACCTCACCAGTCTTTTATTACAGATTTCCAATGAAACTAATATCCACTCCATCATTCAGGCCAGCATCTTGGGGGTCATCTTTAGTTTCTCCATTTGTCTCCCTCTCCTTCACCAAATCCATCATCAAATATAAGGACACCTCAGTGGTCTCCTTGCTTTATCCTCTGCTCCCTCAAATCCACTCTTCACACAGTAGCCAGGATGCTCTTTTAGGAAGATAGATTTACTCCAGATACAGTCACTACTCTGCTTAAAGTCATTCAGAGTTCCCACTGCTTTTAAAATAAAATCAAATTCCTGAGTTCAGTTAAAAAAAAATCACATAAAAGGATCCTTGGATGGGGGGAGTAGAGCAAATACAAAGTCCAAGAAGTGGATGTGGGTTAGTGAGTGAAGCATGAAGCGATGTGGGGTGTTCAGCAAGGAGGAGGAGTCAGGCAGGGTCCAGATTATTCGGGCCTTGGAGGGAATCATGTGAGGAGTTCAGGAGAGTCGCATTTTGAAAAGACCACTCTGGCTGCAGTGTGGAGACCAGAGAGCTAGGAGGCAAGAGTGGCTATAGTTAGGCCAGTGACTGAAGCCATTGCAACAGTTCGGGCAGGAGTGGACAGCAGCTTGGATTATTTGGTGTTGGAGATGGAGGGAAGCAAATGGATTTGGGAGATATTTTAGGACGCAAAATGAAAGACTTGGAACACCCTTTCTTTCTTCCCCCTGCTCCTATATTTGTTGGTTAGTGCCACCTTACATTCTGAGATCAGTTTCTATCTTTTCAAGGATTCTTTCCCTGACATTCCAGACTGCGTTATACAGAAGTCCAATACGTGTTTGTGGAACTGACATGGTAGAGAACGTTCTTGTAAAGATGGAAGAGATTTGAGTGTGGATATGGACGAAGGAAAAAGTTCTAGCTGAGAGGGGGAAGATTGAAGATGCTAAAGAGAGGAGGTAATCGACAGTGAGGTTCCCAAAGAGGAAAACTGCATGGTAGCAGAGGTGGAGGGTTCGGCCTCGGATCAGAGGAAACCTCCAGTTCTGCTGGATGACACTGGGGAACAGGAATCTCATGCTGGGGCTGGACCAGTGCTTACCAGATTCTCTTAGTTCGGAGTTCCCTTTCTAACATCAAAATATTTCCTGAACTCCCAGATACAGCTATATTTTATATATTTTTTACTTTTATTTTAAGTTTGGGGGTACAAGTGCAGGTTTGTTACATAGATAAACTTGTGTTCTGGGGCTTTGTTGTACAGACTAGTTCATTGCCTAGGTATCAAGTCTAGTACCCATCAATTATTTTTCCAGATCCTCTCCCCCAACCACCCTCTACCCTCCAAAAGGCCCTTGTATGTGTTGTTTCCCTCTATGTGCCCATGTGTTCTCATCATTTAGCTCCCACTTATAAGTGAGAACATGCAGTATTTGGTTTTAATATCAACCAATTGATAAAATACACTATGGTAAGAAGCTCTATGAATTCAGAAAAACTTTCAAATAAATATTATTTTTGTTACTTACAACTTTATCGACTTTCCTTTAAAATAGCACATTTATGTATGAATTTTTTTTCCTCTAGAAAATACCAGTGCAGTAAAACTTTACAGATCTAGATGCCCTTTAGTCCAGGCTCCAGAGTCTACTGATTGGGACTCATGATGTAGTCCAGACCATCTTCTAATGGGATTTGATCTTATCTATGACTGTCTGCCTTCCCCTAGTCTGAGAGATATTTAGAGGAAGAAGCCCTGTCTTTTTCATATCCCTAGCATCCAGCATAGGACATAAAACAAAAGGGGATTTGAAAATGTCTGGTTGAATGAGTGAAAATACATAATCATTTTATTATTCTTTAACTTGAGATGCTATCCAGATAGTCTCACATATTTAGTTTCTTCTTGGTAGATACCCAAAGGAAAATAAATCACTCTACCAAAAAGACACACGCAAGTGTATATGCATTACAGCACTATTCACAATAGCCAAGAGATGCCCATACACGGTGGGTTGAATAAAGAAAATATGGTATACATCTACCATGGAATACTACAAAAAATAACAAATGCATGTTCTTTGCAGCAACATGAATGAAGCTGGAGGTCATTATTCTAAGCAAATTAATACGGGAACAGAAAAACCACATGTCCCAGGTTCTCACTTATAAGTAGGCACTAAACATTGAGTACACATGGTCATAAAGATGGGAACAAGAAACACTGGGGGACCTCTAGACAGGGGAGGTAGGGAGAGGGGAAGAGTTGAAAAACACCTATTGGGTATTATGCTCACTACCCGAGTGATGGGTTCAGTCGTACCCAAAATCTCAGCATCACATAATATACCCATGTAACAAACCTGCACATGTACCCTGGATCATAAAATAAAAGAAAAAAACTAAATAGAAAATTTAAAATTAATAAAATCCTGATTTTCTTTCTCCCTAGTGATGAAGATAATTGAAGTTCAGCCCATATCCTTAAGGTGCTCCTCTATTTAAGCTGAGAAAACCTTCTCTGGCTTGGGTTTGTTTTCCTGTTTCTAGATAGTCTTTAGCAATGCATCATCTTCCTGAAGTGCCTGGCTCAGTCCACGGAGTAAAATGTACTAAACCAGTAGGCACATCCTGTCCTTCAGATGTTCCTGCTTGAAACTCAGATTTCTGCATTTGCACATGCTTATTTGGCCAAATGTGTCTTGTAGGATTAGCTTAAGCCACTGCACA